GTGTGCTGGCAGATGCTGGAAGACCGCGCACATAGGCTACCTTTCCTTTTCCTGCCTGAAGACTAGACTCACCAAAGAGGAAAACAACTGCCTTTGTCTCTCTGAGGTTTCATGAACTAGGCCTGCCTACCACAGGATGATGATTGAGATGCCACCACCCCTGGACAGACTTTGACACAAGCTCTTGTCCATCTCCTGAGTGCACTCAACTTCCAAAAAGAATGGTTTATGAACTACTGTTTTCCAGGTCACTCATTCTACCTAGAAATTACTGCCCCTCAAATATACCCTATATTCCACCATTTTCTTCTCCCTTACAAAAAAGGACACATAGTCATCTGAACCTTGAGGGGTTATTGGGCCCTCACTGTCCTGTGATGTCCTCCTGTCAGGGTAACAAATTTGCATACCTTGTCGCTTGTCAATCTATTCCTAAACCTCTCAAGGGCAAAGGGAATGCTTTCTCTTCACTCCCATAGGGCCCTAAGAACAGGAATCCTGCTAGGGATTAAACCACTTAGAAGGATAAAACCCATGGTAAGCAATTTCTAAGGCTTACCACCAAAACATCCCAACAGGCTGAGAACCTGATGATGGCTTCATGATTCATTCCAGGCTCCTCCACCTACCTTACCCTGATGGGGAAAGAATTTATGGGGAATAAACTCAGCTATTGTCTGGCCAAAGACTTTTCATCACAACATAACTTCCCTCACTGTGTTAATGCCTCAGGAACATGAACTTGAAATTCCCTCCCCAGCCAAAAGGATCTTCTCATCACCCAGTGACCGAGCCCTGGCAGGGAAATGTTAGTGTTACTAGACTGCAGCCAGACCTGTATGCCCAGCATTTACCAGTTCAGGAAGGTCTTCTGTGGCCCAGATATGAAGCCAGACTAGAAGAGAGGACAAAACAGGACTAACATCTACAAGACAATACTACAGACCCTGGTTCCTTCATTTCCTTGGGTACCATTCTTCCCCAGAAAGTGTGGGGACAGCAGCAAACAGCAAGTCACGGCTAGGGTGTGCAAAGAGGATAAGAGCATGCCTCTTACTACTGTACTTTCTCTCACCTAGAAATGCCACCGCAGCATGGTACCCCTTCACAAGTACCTGCCAGGGGACATGTCCACTGGGGAGTCTTCTCCCATGTCACTCCTCCTTTGCTTCTCTTAGAATTGATCTTGGTTGCTTAGCTACAATAATTCAATTATGCCCTCTGTAATTAATGACTGGAATTTAGAACAGGAAACATAGATACTGATCAATGAAAGAAAAGTTTCTGCTGTTTAGACATTAAGTGTCCCCCAAAGGCCTTCGTCTCTGGCTTGGCACTATTGGGAGGTGGTAGAGCCTAGTACAATGGTCCTCAACCTTCCTAACGCTGTGACACTTTAATACAGTTCCTCATGCTGTGGTGACCCCCAGCCATCAAATCATTTTCAGTGCTACTTCATAACTGTAATTTTGCTGCTGTTATGAATTGTAACGTAAATACCTGTATTTTCTGATGGTCTTAGGTGACCCTTGTAAAAGGGTTGTTCAATCCCCGAAGGGCTCACAACACACGGGATAAGAACGACTGGGAACTACCCTGGAATCAAAGTCACATAATACAGCATACGAACTACCAGTAAATATCTGCCATGAATTCAGATGCAAAAATAAACAAATGGAACTCAGCAATGTCTAAAGTAAACAGTATATCACATGGGAGTGTGTATTAGTGCAAACACGGAGAACAGAATGGAGAGTCAAACACCACTGTGCATTCCACAAATAAACACAATGACTTATCAATTAAAAGCAAAACTTTTAGATTAAATATATAAAGAAAGTCCATGAGCAAGTGAGAGTTATTCCAGACTGGGCTGGCTCCATACCAAGAAAGTCAATGTAACTCTGAGAATCACAGCCAGTGAACACCAAGGCAACTTCCTCTTTCCACACCAGCATCAAAACACCGCCATGCTGGGTAGAAATAGTCTGGGTTCCATCCAGGCCCACTACTTGTCTTACCCTGTCCTAGACCCTAACGTAGGGTCAGAACATGGACATGCATACTTGGCTTTGATCTATCCAGAGTTCACACAGATGACAGTAAACAAAATTTGCACCAAGATGTCTAGACAAAAGCTCTGAGGCTCTTTACACCAGGAACCAAGTTCCACCAATGAATGCACCAGACTTGTGTGGAGCAGAAAGAGCCTTTCTCTCTTTCCAGAGAACAAGGGGACAGCACACCTATGGGGAACTGGAGAGGTGGGGAAGCCACCTCACATATGGAAGCTCATTCTGTTCTCTCAGTCCAGGCTGAGGGCCGGGTATTCCAGCCACACATGGAACCCAGCCCAGGCTTTACGTGCAAAGAGAAGCTCTGGGCCAGTCCATTGGTGCCTGTCTGTAACGGAGGATTAAGTGGTTCGAGGCTCACACAGGTTGTATGATGAGTTTCAAACCAGCCTGGCCTTCTTAAAATGACCTTGTTTCCAAAAGCCGATGAGAGAGAGTGGGGATATGGAAGAAGGGAGGAAGGGAGAGAAGGAAGGGAGAGGGAGGGAGGGGAGACGGGGAGGTTCTTTGCAAGGCCTGTGACTAGCCTCAATTCTGCTCTTTTTGATAGTAAAATTACCCTAGAGTGTTGAAGCAAACTTGGGAAAATCCCCAATCCAAGTTGAAACACTCCCATCAAGTTGAACACCCCAAAATGTAAACTAAGTCCAGCAGGCTCTGTCTGAAGTTGTGAGGAGTCCCTTAACCTCTGCCTGGAGCAGAGGCTGTGAGCACAGCAGGCAGATCTGCAGCAGGAGGGCAGCTCTCTGCAGAGGGTTTCCAACCTTTGCTGATTGCAGTGGCTGAAGAGGAACCAGGCCACAGGCAAAGACCTTCCCATAAAAATGTACACAATAGTCGGGCATTAATAGTTAGCCAACCCCCGGCAGGTACAGCATCAGACGCACTTCTACGGGAGAGGGATCCTGCAGCTGGCACAGTTAACTGTGGGGAGGATTTCTCTAGAGTCACCTCAAGATGAACCACAGCCTCTCACTCAGCTTTGGAAACATGTAGACAGGAAGGGGTCCATGCAGACACACAGAAGCCCATACCAGCAACTGTTTCAGCAGAGAGCCAATATCCAGGCTCCCCTGCTCAAGGTCCTGGGAGAAGAGTGGAGGCGCTGCTGCTAAGTTGCTATGGTAACAGGAAGCACACTCCCGGATTCCACCCCTAGGCTCTCTGCATCCCTTCGGCCTTCCTGTCGGGGAGAGCCCCGAGCCCCTACAGGCTGGAGACACACTTGCAGTTCAGTCCTAACAGTCCGCAGATCACTTTTGAACTTGAGTACAGGCTATCTTCTAGAATCACATGAAAGGTAAGACTTTGGGTTCTAGCCACACTTCCCCAACCTTCCCATGTCTTTTCCTGGAAAAAAGGCAGACAGCACAAGCCGGTGGGAGCTTGCAGGGAGGTGAACTGAGCATCCGCTTCAGCGTGCTTTCCTCCAACAGTACAAGGAGACACAGCAACCCTGCCCAGAGCTTCCCATCTACAATCAGTTCCGCTGTGTGGTCAAACACAGACAATGTTTGTGCACATCTCCTACCTAAGTCCTACACAGGTCTCTACATTCTTTCCAAAGTTAGTTCATAACTTTCAAGTAACTAAGCAAGACTTAATTCAGAGTAAAGAATTACTCTGAATTTAAAAATATATATATATAAATAAAAATAAAAAACCCTAAAGGTTGGGCGGTGGTGGCACAACACTTGGGAGGCAGAGCCAGGCTGATCTCTGTGAGTTCTAGGCCAGCCTGGTCTACAGAGCGAGATCCAGGACAGGCTCCAAGGCTACACAGAGAAACCCTGTCTCGAAAAAAAAAAAAAAAAAAAAAAAAAAAAAAAAAAAAAAAAAAAAAAACCTAAAAAGTTAAAATTGCCACACCACCACTTCTTACCATGTTGTACTGTAGTACTAAATTTTTCTTGGGTCTACTAGATTGCTGTTCTATTTTAAATAGACCTCAAAGAAGGTATTTTACATGTAGGGTTTCTTTAAAATGTCCTGACACTGATTGATTTCTAAAACATTATTCAAGGAGTGTGAGATCCCAGCACGTACACGGCAGGTGTAGAGTGGGAGGCAGATTTAAACACTGAGTCACAGCACAGCGTGCACCCAGTGTACAGGGCAGTAGGGTCACATGATGACTCTAACAGGGAGAGTCGCATACATCATGCACACCTGTTGAAGTCTGGAGGAAATACTGGAAGGAAATTAACACCCACAAAAGGTGAGGTGCAGCTGGCTTCTTGCTTCCCGTCCTGTGCACTTGCAAGGAGCTGTGGGACTACATCCAGTGTGGACGGTCCAAGCCAAGCACTGCCCTCCCCACCTGAGAACAAGGCAGTCCCTTATACACTTCACTATGACCTACATGGACGTGGTGCTGTACGTTTGAATGAAGAAAACAAGCCTATTACTAACAAGCTTAGTATTTATCACAGTTTTCCCCAGTTATTGAAATAAGCTGGGTTCTTTAAGGGAGTACAAGTTTTTTTGTACAAAAAGAGTATTTTCTCATCCTGAAAAATTCTGACACCAAGAGGTAAAAATGGGTCTGTGGGAAAATGCAACACCTCACACACAGGTGATTTTGTACGAAGGGCAGGAGAAGTTTGCAACTGTGTCTTGCTATCAAATAATGACTTAGAGAGAGGGATCTCTCAGACGGTGAACTGCTATGTTGCATTCTGTTTCCAAATGGAATGTCCTGGGTCTCCAGAAGAGAGCAAGGAACCCTGGGTGTCCTCTAACTCTGACAGACCCAGAAAGTGACTCCCTTCCTACTCAACCACGGAGGCAAGGGAGGAAGTGGGGGAAGAAGACACGAGGAGAGGGAGGGAGGGAGGGACGCAGGGACGCAGGGAAGAAGGAGAAAGATGGGATGGAGGCCAGCAGGAACGGGGAAGGGAGGAGGGAGGGACACAGGGCACGAACCTCCACCAGTCTCCAGGCCTCGCTGATGATGGCGTACTGCAGGCGGTTCAGGACGAAGCCATCGATCTCCTTCAGGACTCTCACTGGGGACTGTCCAATCTCCCTCATCAGGGCATAGGTTCTGTCCATTGTGGCTGGAGCTGTCTCTGGGTGAGGGATTAGCTCAACCAGCGGGACATAATAGGGTGGATTGACCTTGTGAGAGGGAGAGAAGAACAAGAGGGTCAAGGCCATGGCTGACAGTGGGGCTGCCCTGGTCCACTCCACCTCACCTATGTCAAGAGACAAGTGGGATGGGAGCAACTTTGGAAAGGTCCCTAGCTTCCACATCCAAAGATAAGACTTGAGAAAGGGATACATACACAGGGGGTGGGGGGTGGGGGACGGTGAGTACAGAACTGTATCGTTTTATTTTTGAAAAGAACATACAAGGTGCACCTTGCTATCTTGTATACATTATGGAGGACTCCAAGCCCTCCAGCCTCCCCAGGACAAAGGTTTCTATACTAGTAATTGACATAGCTTTACCCATTCCCACTGTCCAGAACCACTTTCCCATCCTACACTCCTCAGGCTTGGCCATTCTCTGCCTGTGTTAAGAACGTGAACAGGATGGACAGGTGTGATGGTTCATGCTTGTAACCCCAAAACCTGGGAGGCTGAGGCAGAGGGCAGGTAGACACTAGCTTCATCTGTATAGTGAGTTCCAAACCAGCCTGGGCTACAGAGTAACTCCTGTCTCAAATACCCCATAAACAGACTCTCCCAGGGCTTGGTACTTCCCTGGTCCCTCCGTGTGCATCTCACCCACACTCTGGCAATCTAAAGTCCTGTTCTGTTCTGGAAATCGCAGACAACAGCACCTGGGCAGCCTCACACCTCAGGGTGGCTGGAGACAGGAAGGCCCCCATCAGTGGGAGGGACCCAGGGAAGATGCTGGTGTGGTCCTTGGCTCTGGTTTTCTCGGTTCACACTTAGTTCCTTGGCTATTCCCCATCAAGAACTAGCAAACATCCCAAGAAAACGCAACTTAGCAGTGCCTAACCAGCCTGTACTATAACAACCTGGTCCATGAGGAAAGCCCCTCCATGGCTTTTGCTCTGCTGATCATAGATGATTACACAAATATCCTCTACAATGACTTCTAGTGGGGGGAGAGGTAAAAGGTACCACTTCAAGAAGGCACATGATCTACTCAGGGATAAGCTTTATTATTATTTATTTTTAATTTATTTATTTTATGTGCCTTTTACATCATATATCTTGATCCCATTCATTTCCCCGTCCCTTCACATCTGCCCTCTGCCCCTGCACACCCCCAAATAAAACAAAATTTAAGAGAAAAAAGGAAAAGAAAAAAGGGGGGACTTAAAAATCTTGTCATGGAAGCTGCAGTGTGACACAGTGAGTTATGCTGTGAATCCCTTTGTCCATATATCTTTACTTGCAAGTGTTCATTGCAAAGAGTCATTGGTCTGGTTTGAGGCCTCTGGTTTCTACTACCCTATCGATGCTGGGCCCTCACTGGGGCTCCTCCTGGATACCCTGCTGCCGCCCTGTGTTGTGGAGATCCTGCAGCTTTGGGTCTGCAGGTCAGGTTCCTTCATGTGCTCCAGGAGATCACAGATGAGGTGGATGATGGGGCAGGCCAAGTCATATCCTTGGTCTGGGCCTGGGCAGCTGTAGGGTGAGTGGGCCAGATGGGAAATGGGGACAGCTCTCCCATGTTCACAACTTCAGGGCTGGCTCACTCATACCTGCACTAACAGGGTTGGTTCTATTGTGCTGCCCTGGAGACGTGCAGGGCCTGCTTTCCCGAGTGCTGCAGCTGGTGGGGATTGGGGATGGGTCTCCCACACTTGTGACCACAGGGCCAAGCTTTATTATTTTTTATGTTATTTTTAAATTCATTTTATTTTATTTGGTTTTAAAAATCAGTTGTTGATATGAAACTCACTCTGTAGTCCAGACTGACTCAAACCAACAGACATTCTCTTTGTCAGCTTCCTGGGTTCTGGTATTACAAGGATGAGTCTGTGTTTTTCATTTTAGTGCTGGGGATCGATCCTACAGCCTCGCTCATGGTAGGCAAGCACTCTACCACTGAGCTATATCCCTGGCTCAACTTTAAATAAGTAACTTATATAAATCAATGCCCCCAACTTAATCACCAGTTTCGCTTAACTACTGAACCTACGACACTTTTAAAAATCAAGATTATCGGGGCTAGTGGGACAGATCTGGAGGTAAAGGTCCCAGCTGCCAAGCCTCCCATCTGAATTTAATCCCTATGGCCCACATACTGGGAGGAGAGAACCAACTCCTGCAAGCTGTCTTACGACCTCAGTGTGTGTGTACACCATACATAGAGCACATAAATAAATATAAAATTATTCAAATAAGAAAATCAGGACTATAAAAAATGGAAGTACACCTCCAGATGAACTGGAGAAGTTAAGCTCCAGGTCCTTGCAGCATTGTGAATGTCACAGGTGGCAAAAACAGACACGCATCTCTTGATATGGGGACATTCTGTTGTGTTAATACATCATAGGGTGTGCAGTGGTGGAGGCTGGAGAGGGAACTGATATTTAAGGGGTAAGCCTCCTTCAGGAAGGGAAGCTTTCCAAGATGGGGAGCAGTAAAAACACAAAGGTATGAGTGTGTTTAATGCCTCTGAGCCACCCCCTTAGAATGGTTAAAGTGGTCAACTTTGTGGTATGATTACCACAACTAAAAGAAATTTAATTAAAGAAATTAAAAACAGTGTTCTGATCTCCCCACCTCCAGCTCCAAATTCTGGCATGACCCCCAACAGACAGTTTAAAAGCCATGCAGCTGAGGAGGCATGGTGATGTGTGCCTTTAATCCTAGCACCTAGCACTCCAAGGCAGAAGTGGCTAGGCTTCTGTGATTTTTGAGGCCAGCCTGGTCTACACAGAGAGTCCCAGGCCAGCTAGGGCTATATAGTGAGACCCAGTCTCAAGAAAAAAAAAAAAAGTAGTACAACTAAACACTGGACCCTTCAGACCTCCTGAGATGGAACCTGATCGCTCTCCTGTCCCTCCAGGAGGCTCCAGGCAGAATGACGTCACTCCACCCACAGCACTTGGCCTCTGACAACGAAATCAATCCATTTGGAGTCAGGGACGAGCAGTGATAGTGCCTTGGACCACACAGTGGACAGAGGAAAGGAGAGAGCAAAATGCTCACGACAGAGGAAGCAGACTTCAGACAGTGGCACCACTTCTAAGTCAGCCCAGGGTGGGTATTCTCCTCATGGGTCTAACCAAGGCAGGGTGATCCCTGGTAATACCCACAGATGTCTCCTTTCCATGGGGAAATAGGGCCATGGTCTCCAGATACTGCAGGACAGTTATCCACCCACCGGCCACCACAGTGGCCGCTCCTCTCAAGCTTCCCGGGAAGTGAGCTGAAGACCCCCTTATAAACATGTTCTGTATCAGCTCTCCCCCAGCCAGGTGCCAGGAAGCCTAGAAGCAGGGGTGTGCATCACAACAGGGCTCCCTCAGCCAAGGGTGTAAAACAATGGGACTAACTTGGTGTCCAGCCAGAGGGTACCACTACAGAAAAGGTACACGGAGCTGGCCTTTCATCCCAGCTCCCAAGAGGCTAAGGCAGGGGGCTCTCAAGCTTGAGAATGACTTGGACTACATGGCAAGATGCTGTGGAAATAAGAGGGTCAGAGGTACTCAGTGGTACAGCCCTTGCCTAACACACAGGAGGAAGCACGGTGGCAGTGGACACTTCATACAAAAAAAAAGCAGGCCTTTATCCAACTCCAGGAAGAGACACCCTGCAGCTGACCAGGAACCTGGGTCCATCCCAGAGTCTGTGGCCTCCTTCTAGGCAACCTGACCTACAGAAAAAGAGCACCCAGAGGCCCCATTAGCTCCACCAGACACCTTGGTCCCACAACAGATCAGGAAAAAAGATGAAGGGAAAGTTTTTTAAAGTGAGGCCAAAATAGGTCCAACGCTCCGCTGCTGTGATGGGCGGCTGACACTGTGGGAAGACAGACATGGTCTCTGTGCCCCCATGCCAGTCTCTCTAAAGCCAACCCCTACACAACACCAACTCTGGCTTCCTCCCTCCAAGAAGGGAAGCTGATCTAAAACACATCTGAGGGCAAGAACGGCCACAACAGAGAAGGCGGGTGCATGAACACCCTTTCCTTTTTGGGGCGTCATGAAGCAGATCTTCCGCAGCCTCTGAAAGGCAGGCAGTCCAGGAAGCCCATAGTGAGGCCCACGTGAGGCCCTCAGTGCTGACAGCACACACCCACTGCTCAGGACCTTCCACTCACCCCTAGAACAGAGATGACCAGAAAACCTGCCCTGCCCCACAGCAAACGTGCCTGAGGGAACGTGGGGCTGCCCTAACTTGCCAACTGGAGCTTCCCTGTGTGGAGGTGGAGGCCAAACCTATCGCAAAGGCAAATATCCACTGTGCCAGGGCCCTGCAGGGGCATGACCAGGCCTCCTTCTTGACATCTGATTTCCTGTCCAGGCAAAGATCCCAGAGGACTATAGGGCTCAGGACATGAGCTCAGCCACTCTGGTCTGGCCTGTGGGACTGGGAGAAAATGGAGATTCTCAAAGACTAGGGATGACTCCTGACTATTTAGGACTGTCCATATGATTTCAGATAGTCTGCCTACTCCCTTGGATGCCGTAGAATGACAGAATCCAAAGATGGCTCACTTTGGTGACCTGATTTGCTTTAGTTAACATCAATTTTGGCTAAAGAAAAAAAAAACTCATAAAAACAATAAAAGATTGTGTGTGCACACGCACATGTACACTCTTCTTGTGTCCTACTAGCACTCATACCTAGGGTTTCTGCAAGCTGGGCAACGCTCTACCGCTAAGTAGATCAATTTGGGGTGGCTTTTGATTTTGTTTTGTTGTTCTGTTTTTGTTTTTTGGGTATTTTGGGTTTTTTTTTTTAATAACTCTATAGCTTCCTGCCTCAGTGTTCTTAACCCTGGGATTATAGGAGTGAACCACCACACCTGATTTTAGAGAGGGCTGAATTTATGTTTTAGTTTATGTATTTATCTATGCTTTATTTTTGTTTTTAATAATTTTATTTTTTGAAATTAAATATAAGTACACCATTTCTCCCTTCCCTTCCCTCCCTCCAACCCCTCCCATGCACTTTCAAATTCATAGCCTCTTTTTCTTTATCTATTTTTTCTATTCCTAAATACAACATCCTCAGTCCATATCATGTTGTTCGGATGTATATCGTCACTTCAGTACTGACTGCCCAGTACTGGATAACCGCCTGGGGGACCACTGCCTGGGGAAGACCATTTCTCACTCTCTCAGCATCGCTTAGTTGCCCATAGCTCTTTGTCCAGGGTTGAAGTCCCGTGAGATTTCCCCCTTCCACGTTAGCATGTCTATGGGTGTCATCCTTGTTCAGGTCATGTTTAGGTCATGTCACAGCAGACTTCCTATTTCTCTGGCTCCCCTTCTTCCACGATGACCCCAGAGCCTTAGGTGCGGGAGTTGTGCTATAGATGTATTCACTGGGACTAGGCTCCACAGGATCTCTTGTTCTCTGCATTTTGATTGGCTGTGGTTTTCTGTAATCATCTCTGTCTGTGGCAAAGAGAAGTTCATTTGATGTGGAGTGAAAACTATAAGGGTAAACGTTTAGAATGTAGTTAGGAATTATGCTGGTTTAGTAAAGTGGTGGTCGTATGCTTTCCTCGAAGATCCATGACTTCACTAGACCTGAGCAGTTGACTAAGTTTCCAGTACCAAGCATGATTTCCCTCTCATTGAACAGGTCATAAGTCCAATTAGACAGCTGTTGGTTACTGCCAAGGCATGAGTGCCACTATTACACCCTTAGAATTATCGTGCCGTGCTGGTCATTGCTGTAGTTCAAAGGCATCATAGTTGGGCAGGGCTGTTGGTTGCTTCCCTCCCTTAGAGGCTTGTGTGACATCTTCTGATACCATGAAAGCTAGTCCTCAGGGAAGAGGCTTTCAGTCAGATCCAGCTTGGCTCCAGGTCCTGTGTCCAAAGACCATTGTGTCTTCAGTATTTATTTAGGTTTAAGTGAAGGTCTCATACATCCTGGCAGGCTTCAAACACACCATGCCACTGAAGATGACCTCCAGCTCCTAAGAGCCCCCTGCCTCCATCTCCTGAAAGCTGGGGTTACAGGCATTTACCACCCCACCCAGTTTCATACATTGCTAGAGATCGAATCCAGGGCTCATGTACACTAGGAAAGCTATCTACCAACTAGACTTGCCGTATGCCATTTGTCTTTGCTTAAACAAGGTGGAAAGGTCTTTTTGAGAATATACAAGTGATTTCTGAAGTCTTTGATTTAAGTAGTGTTTCTTTTTGACCAACTTCAATGCAATACAATGGATTAGAAATCAGTGGCTTTCTTACAAGCAAATGCCTTCCACTGTAGCAGCCAGGAGCTGTTTTCAGAGGGACTTTTGTGACATCTACCTATCACAGGAGAAAAGACAACTTCAGGCCTGGATGCCTGGGCGCATTCAGCTCTTGTCCCTTTGGACTCTAATACCACCTGCACGTTTTGTGACTGAATGTAGCCATTTCCATTCTATGTTCATTTGGTTCACTCTTTCCAAAGCTATTTCACAATATGGCAAAACCTGAAGTCTGGACTGCCTGCGTCTTGACACTGAGCATCTCGTGGGTGTCCAGTCACTCATCCCTTTTCTGCACCCCACCAGTCTAGCACCTCCACTCAACTGCTCTTCTTTGGAAGAAGACTTTCCCTGGCCCCCATTCTAGCCCCGGCTCCTCAGGCTTCAAATGTGGCCCTGTGTACTGTGTCGTGAGGTCTGGACTTTGCCACAGCAGCATTTCCAAGGCTTCGTGCTGCTACTCTGTACCTAGACACACACACAGTTCTTCAAAGTAACGCTCATGATCCTCTAGAGCCCTGCTGGTGAGGCTTCTCCACCTCCAAAGGGTCTGGGTATCTGAAATGTTTTAAGCTCTGACACTGTGCTTAAAAAAAAAAAATATAAATTTCAGAGCTTTTCAGATTTGGGAATTTTTTTTTGGATTAAGAATGCTCAATTCATAAAGACTATGTAAACATTCCAAAACTCAAATTCTGAAATACTCTTAGTCCCAAGCATTTTGGTTAAGGGATGCTGCTATGGTCTGGCTATGTGGGGCTAGACAGGTGGTTCAGCAGTTAAGAGCACACTCTCTACTCTTTCAGGGGACTCAGGTCCTATTCCCAGCATCCACATGATAGCTCACAGCTGTCTGTAACTCCAGTTCTGGGGGATCTGGGGTCCTCTTCTGGTCTCTGCACACACCAGGCATACATGTGACACAGACATACATGCAGGCAAATCACCCAAACACATAAACTAAAAATAAATAAATCTTTATTTTAAAAAAAAAAGGTTGTCCTCCCCACTAGTTCATGGGTTTGAAGACTTGGTCCCCAGCTGCTGGTGCTGCTCTGGAAGACTGTGGAACCTTTAGTTTTTCTCACTGGAGAAAGTGAGAAATGGTCACTGTGTAATGGGTCTTGGGGTTCACAGCTGACCCTGCCCCCGGCCTTTTCCTTGCTTCTCTCCACCATGTTTTCTCTGCCATGCTAGCCCCTCAACCTAAGAGCTAAAACAAACCTTCTCTCCCTTAATTCACTTCCTGTCAGACATTTGGCCACATCAACAAGAAAAGTAACTAACACGGGTTCCCCATCTCTCATCTTCAAACCTCCTCCTGCCCCCTCTCAGTGTGTGGGCTCTCCCAGCGATGCCATCATGACCCCACCCCACATACTCTCCCTTGCTCCTGCCCTACGGCCTTGGCTTACGCAATACCTCAGCTTCCAGCACAGTTCCCATCCACCCAGCCAGGCTGGCCCTGCTTCTCTGTGTAGCTTTTGGCTGGTAATGACACAATGTGCCATCCTATTTATCATGGCTGGAGCTAAGTTAGCTTTCCCACCCAAACAGGCTGTCCTGGTTCTTCACGGTCATGCTGAGTTCATGGTCAGGACTCCAGCATCATTCACCGAGTGATCTTTAAACCGCCATGCTTGGTCCCTGCCCTCACAAAGACTCATGGAGCCCTCCCTCACCTGCTAACCGGAGCCTGTGGCCCAGCTGACCACACAAGGTGCTCCTGGTGAGGAAATGTGCTTAGTCGGTCACAGTGGATGGGTAAAGGGGGAGCAGCAGGGGAAGAGGGCTTCAACTCAGATGCCCCGAATCAGAATTTTGGCAGTGACACCCAGAACCTGCATTTTAACAGAGCTGATCCTCCTGTGAATGACCTTCAGGAAATGGCACGAGGCAAGTGACATGTCTATAAACTTCTATATGACACGTACATTTTAAAATCCTGTGTGTGTTTGTGTGTGTCTATGTGTGTGTGTGTGTGCATGAGCACACGTGCACACACTTGTGCCACGGCCACATTCTAAGGTCAGATGACAAACTCTGGTATCAGACCTTGCCTTCTACTTTGTTTGAGACAAGGTCTCTGTTGTTTGCAGCTGCACACACAGGGCTAGCTGGCCCTCGAGGTTCCGGAGTTTGCCTGTCTCTGCGTCCCACCTCCCTGTAGAAGTTCAGGGTTTACAGACACACACACTACTATTCTCAGTTTACACGGGTCCTAGGGATTCAAACCCAGGCCCTCATGCTTGCACAACATACCCTTTCTCCACTCAGCCAGTCCCCAGCCCGGGTGGACATTTTTAATACAGCACTTTGATTTATTATGGGACTGCTAACCTAGCAGCTAGCCTTATACCACATGATGAGTGCCAGAGGGTTCAAGTATTAAATACTGCTTGTTTTATGCCGTGACACCTTAGATGCACAGATAAAATTCCAAGGAATTTTGGATCATATTCCTTTTTTTAAATGACGATATTGCACAATCCTAAATGTTTGCAAAACCACCGAATTGACTAACAGATTGTGTGGCATGTGGATGACACCTCCATAAAGCAGTTCAAGATGCTTGCAGATCCATTGCAATGTATTGCCCCTAAAAAAAGAATGAGATACAATCAAGTCCCCAGGCTTATCACACGCCCAGGGCTGGAGTGTACCTTGGTACTTGACTAGCATGTGAGAGGACCTGGGTTTGATCCCCAACACCACAAAGGAACAAAACAAACAATGTACTCACAGGATGAGCCACGATGCACTGCTTCACGTGCGCCAAGCCTGTAAACAGCTTGGAAGGAAGCAGACAAGAGCTGGAACTGCTTAAGATGACTCTATCATCCACGATGCGATCCAGCTGGGCAAAAATCTTCTTCTTCAGCTCCAGGTTCTCCGGAACACATTCCTGAAAGAGACACGCTTGGATGACTACTTACGATCAAGACAACCAGCTGGGCTGTGTTTGCTTCGTCCCTAGAACGAACTAATCTGGAAATGATGGATCTGGGGACCCACAACCCCAGCACAGGGCACCCTGAAAACAGTTGAGGCAGGAGGTTTTACTGGCTCTTTTCCCCTGGCCTTCCCCCCTGCAGCAGGCTATGAAACAGTTTTCTGCCTTTCCTAGAAGTAGGTCACAAGACCCTCTGCAGGAGGTACCCTGAGACACACAGAGGAGAGCAAAGGGGTACCTTGGCTTTGAAGACAGCAAAACAGACAGGAAAAATCTACCCAGAAGGCCTTGCTCACTCCTTAAGTCAGAATCTCTTTGTCCACTCTTCATCTTACCAGCTGTAAAACCACATGGAGTTTCTTGGATCCTCACTTCTGACTAGTCCTGTGCCACATAAAACTTTATTAAGTAAATGTGTGTGTTCTTATTGGTCTCTATTTTGATAATGGAACCTCAGCTATAGGCCTTACCAGAGGTGAGAAAAGATCACCCAGTCTTCCCCCCACACACATAAAACAAACCAGGAGTCCAGGAGTTTAAGAGCAGAAGAGACCACTGAGAGAATGGGAACACTCCTGGCAGGGATGTTGACACAGGGACTTGCTTGCTACTGGTTTTAGACAGGTCTGAACATTCTCATCCTAAGAGGCCTGGGCTGGGGGTCAGCTCCATAGGAAGGCACTTGCCCAGCAGCTAGAGGCAACTCTGCTTCCATTTCTAAGAACCAAGGCTGCAGGGAACCTGCCAACTGAAAATTCTCATGATGAAAAAGTCTGTCAGGGAGATGGCTCCTACACCAGAGCTCACAGGAGCCCTCCGGCAAACCGCTATAAAGCTGAGTGCTTTCATCACTGCATACTTCCCCTATCTGCCCCGACCATCACACCTAGGATCTTCAAGAGAAAATCTCATCCTCCTACAATGAACAAACTTTGCACCTGTAACTCCCCAGAGGCGCTCCAGGACCCAATTCTAATTGGGAGTCCTTTTGAAAAAGACCTTTGTTTTTAACAATTGCAAAGTACTAAATGGGGTGGGCAATGGGATAGAAAAGATAGGGGAGTGAATTTGGATTAATTACTGCTGATAACAAACACTCTGAAATTCTAATTACAGGGCTAGGTGGGACTGAGATGGCAATCTCAAACAGCCCAGGCTGGCCACAGGTAAGGGGTGTTCCTGGGAACCTGGGGTTGAGATAGACATTCTGCTCTGGATGGAAGCCATGTATGAAGAAGTGCCCTTCTGCACCTATGAGGATCACACTGAGGATTATTCTTAGCAAAGTGGGTCCCTGCTCACCTGAGAGGCAAGAGACCCCACACACACACCTTCATGACACTCACTTTCTTTTCACAATGGCCCAGAAGCCAAGGATTAGAATCAAGTAAGCACTCCTTAACTACAAAATCTCAGGCCCCCATCCCAGACCTAATACAGGTGGGACTGAGGTACCTGCATTTTTCACAAGCATCCTGGTGATTCCTTAAGCTCCAAAGTGCATGGTCACTACTTAAAAAGAGCGGGTACATCCCACACTTGGCATTCTTCCCATGTCAGGATCCCCCATCTCCTAGCTCAGTGGTTCTCAACCTTCCTAACGCTGGGACCCTTTAATACAGTTCTTCATGGGGTGACCCCCAACCATAACATTATTTTGTTACTACTTCATAAATGTAATTTTGCTACTGTTATGAATCGTAATGTAAATATCAATAGGCAGGATATCTGATATGCAACCCCCTGTGGGGTCATGACCCACAGGTTGAGAACCACTGTCCTAGCGACTCACAGTAATCAACACAATCACAATGGCACTTTGGTCTCTTCAGTGGCTCTAATCACTAGCCAGTTTCACTGGAACACGACCTTTGTGTAACATTTAAGGTAATGGAAAGAAAGTCAAGAGCCCAACTATATGAACTCAGTGTCTACTCCTCACAAATACAAACTGTCAGTCAGCCTAGGACCCCAACATTAGGGAAGTGGAGGCAGGAGAGCCAAGAAGGTCAAGGCCACCTGCTGCTGCACAGACAGTTTGAGACGGGACAGGGCTACACTGTGTCTCAAAAGAATATATAACAAATAAATAACAGATAGATAAATAGACAAACGAAGTGGGGGCTGGAGAGGTGACTCAGAGATAACAGCATTTCTTGCTCTTGCAGAGGACCTGGGTTCGGTTCCCAGCACCCACATGGTGGCTCACAACCAGTTCTGGGGTTCAATGCCCTCTTCTGGCTTCTGTGGGCATCAGGCACACACATGGTACACAGATACAACACAGGCAAAATGCCCATACACATAAAATAAAATTTTGAAAAAAAATATTTTTTTAATTTTATCCAAATGGGAAGGGGTCCACACTGTGCTTTTTAAAACTTTTTAAGAGTATAATCAGGCCACAGAAAATTTTATTAACAAGGAAAAATCACATTAGCATCACATCTCATACACAGAAGCGAAGAATGGAGTCATTTAAGAACTGTAAAGCCCATTGTGTTCTGTCCCCTTATCAAAACGGGAAAGAGAGCTACAGTAGCTGGCTGTTCTATTGAGTCACTCCTGGATCAGTTAAGTCTGTGAGGGGGGTTCAGTTTAAATGGAGCCTTGTAGTCAAGCCAGAGGTGAAGACCGACGCAGGGCTTGTATGAGCCGGGAAAGAATGGACTCATTGTGCACCGCCCTGCAGATTCTCCTCTGAAATTCTATGCCTTTCTCCAGATTGTTTGATCATGACAGAGGCAAGAAAACTTGAACCACAGGAAACCCAAACCTTCTACAATTATGTAAGGGTTTCCAGTGGCCTGTTGGCTTGAAGTTTGGTTGCTCTTGCTGTCGTAACCCAGTTGTACACGGTGGATGGAGCCACAGACCTCAGGCTTCAGTCCATGTCACGCGCTAGGCTCGGTTCCTTGTTATCCACTAAGGTAGCCGAGGTCTATAAAAGGGGGTGGGTCATTTTAATCAGAATCTCAGACCCCAAGGGCTGCAATCCTTTCCCTGAAGGGATACTGCTGTGGGTTAAGTTATAAGAGCTAACTAGCAAGAAGCTTGAGCCATAGACCATCCAGTTCATAATTAATATAAGCCTCTGAGTGATTATTTTATAAGTGGCTGCCAGTCGCGGGGCTGGGCGGACCGGAGAAACTTACCACTACAGGCTACAAAGATGGTACACACAACTATGGCAGAGGAATGTGGACATGCCCTGGATCTCTCATCCACACCCTCCTGCTTCCCCAGTCCGTCTGCCTCGGGCCTATTTCTATACAAAGCTATCAGGTATGAAGTATTTCCAGTGACTGCCATCACCACTGCCGGCAAGCAGCCTGCCTCTGTCTAGTTAAACTCTGACCACGCCTCCCTACAGAGCTGACTTACCGTTGTTTGTTTGTTTGGGTTTATTTGTTTTGAGGGAGTAGGAATGCCACATCTCACAAATAATATGGCCATACACCACCAACATCACAGGCATGCCTAGATTTAGGCAAGCAAAAACCAAACGGTGAACACTTGGGAAGTAAATGATGACAAAACTTCCCTCACACAACTCTTAATGGTTGTCAAAATCAGCTTCCTCCCTTAGTTTGAGGCAGAGTCCCGTAGCCCAGGCTAGCCTCCCACTCATTACATAACCAAGGCTGACTTGGAACTCCTGACCTTCTTGTTTCTACCTCTCTGGGATCCCAGGCATAAGTCACCATGCATGCTTTACTCGGTGTTGGGGATCAAACCTAGGGCCTGGCAGCAGAGCCACAGCCAACTCTTTCTAGCTTCCAGGTCCAGGCAGTAGCTGCAGCTAAGAGGGGAGGCTGAACTTCACCACTGACTTGTCCTTCCCTTCTCAAACTGAAGAAACTGGGCGGGACATTTTTAATTACAATGTTTTAAAAAGCAAATCACAGCCGGGCGGTGGTGGCGCACGCCTTTAATCCCAGCACTCGGGAGGCAGAGGCAGGCGGATCTCTGTGAGTTCAAGGCCAGCCTGGGCTACAGAGTGAGTTCCAGGAAAGGCGCCAAAACTACACAGAGAAACCCTGTCTCGAAAAACCAAAAAAAAAAAAAAAGTAAATCACAGGCAAATGTCAGTGTCTCATCTGTAGTAAAAGCTAGCTGGGTTATTGAAAACGGATCAGGACTGTACTTTGGAGAATCTGCACAGTCACGGTAGGTCAGCTCACTGGACGATTCCCAGAGAGAGCTGAGCACAAGGTAAGTAAGTGCCTGCTTGTCAAGTCTTGCCACTGGCCACAGGACACACATTCCCACAGATGGCTGCCATGAAAGACACAGATGAAATTTTATTGAGGTTTTTGTTTTTTTAATGACCCCCACCCTGCCCTGCCCCACCCAGTCACTCCACACAAGGTAAAGAGCATCCCGTGACTCATGTAAGATATCTGGACGAAAGTGTCAATGTGCTTTCCAAGAAAACCCAGAAGGCTGCAGCATTTAAGGTACGTTGCTCACAACATGGTTCTCGGAGCTGGTTTTAACGGGAGGGGGCGGGGAACGACACCTCAGGAAGGCCAGGGAGGGAAGCAGACAGAGACAGGGGAGAGTCACTACAGGGCTGGAGACGAGAGCGGGATGCAGAATGTGTGGCAGCCTTGATGTTGGCATTTCTTTCTCTTCGGTGTTCTCCCCACGAGCACAACCCTTAAAAACGATCAGTTGGCAGGTGACTGTGTCCACACTCCTGAAGATGTGGACAGGGGAAGGGAGAGGGGAGAAGAAGGAGAGGAATGAAGGGGAGGAGGGATTTCCCCGCTCCAGAAGTGATGTACTGTTGGACTTCATTTTCAACCCTCAACATCTCAGCCAAACAAATGGGGCTCAATTCCCCTAAAAATCAAATGAAAGTTATTATTTTGTTTTGTTTAAGTATATTACATGTGCTCATTCTGCTAGCCTGGAGGTCCCCACAATGATCCAAAACAAATTACACC